CTCATAAATAAAATTTTTAACTTTTTACTGTAATTTGAATGCAAATCCTTTTTCAAAACATTAATTATGTTGAATGTTTATTTTGATCGAAGACTTGTATATTTGTTCAAAATTCAAAAATAACTATTTATCGGCAACTACTTGCACGCTAAATAAAAAGGATTCTATTGTAAGCACATTTCTGGCCTTTTGTCACTTCTGCAGTGTGGAATCGTTCCTCATATATACTGGCTCTCTGCGAGACCAACCTTTACTAGTTTATCTCCTCCTCTGACTTCTCGATCCCCTGTTACCTTCCTTTCCTTAGAAAAGACTCTCAAACCCATATGCATCGCCTGGTAGTTTACATCAGGGACCACTCCCATTGGCCTGGGAGCACTCTCTCGAATCTCCAGACCATTCATTCATGTGTTTCCGTCTATCTCTCCTCAATGTTGTAAGCTACCTCTTCTTCCTCTATCGCCCTCCATCCTCCCAAGACTGTAGTGTACTCGATAGCATTTCCGACAATATAAACAAGGCTATCTCTCTTCATCCGGTTGAATATATATTCGTGTTCGGTGATTTAAACGCCCACCATAGCAAGTGGCTTAAAAACTCTATAACTGACCTTGCTGGTATACAAACCCTTAACTTTTCAATTACTCAATCCTTCACACAAATGGTTGACTTTCTCACATATTTCTCCAGTGACCAGGATGGTAAGGCTTCCTTTCTCGATATCTGTTTCACTTCCATCCCCGAGTCTTGTCGTGCCACACAGCTCTGCCCTCTTGGCAACTATAATCATGATGTAGTGTCTATAAACATCTCCTTCTACTCCTCCCTCAGCAAAGAACCTCCTACCAACAGAATATCTTTTTGTTATTGTTATACCAGAACATTACCTATACTATTGTAATAGAATCTTTCACAGATAATAAGTAGTAGTAGCAGTGGACAGTTGAGCTCGGTGGAGTTGAGTGAGTCAGTCGATGTCGGACATTGAAGTATCAACCATCACAACTAGATTGCTGCGTCATTAACTCTTATTTCAAGTTTTGTACGTCGGACCCTTTTAGGACCGACTTAGCGAAATACAAGCCTCCACTGTGAAAACTACTCTACAACAGTTATCAACAAACAGACTGGGACTCCTTCCGTGATTTCCTTTGCGATTACCCCTGGAATGTGGTCTTTAATCTCCACTTTCAAAAATGTGCTTCCGAGGTCTTCTCTTATATAAAAGCTAGAATCGAGGCTTTCATCCCCGCAATGAAATATAAAGTTAAATCGCGCACTCATCCCTTTGGTTCTCAGCTGCTTGTTCAGCTGCTATTGCCCATAAGAATCACTTCTTCCGTCTGTACCGTAGGGACATGTCTCAGCCCCTAATGAGTACAAGCCCCTAATAAGTACAAGCCCCTAATGAGTACAAAGTCACTATTTGCTGAAAAAATGAAACAACGTATTGTATCTCGCAAATTCGGTTCCAAAGATTATTGGCGTCTCTGCAAGAGCGTACTAAACAACAGCAAATCCGCAATACCTCCTTTAATGAATCAATTTCAGGTAATGATTTCCTCAGCTTATAAGGCTGAGTGCTTTGCTCTGAAATTCTCATCCGACTCAACGCTCGACTCATCCGGTGTACCGACACTCTATTTTTGAGCATCGTCTCTAAATTAGACTCGCATAAGGCTGGCGGTGGAGATGGGATACCAGCCGTTGTCCTGAAGAAAAGTACTTCTGAACTGGTTCCTGTCCTCTTCAAACTACTACTTCAACGAATCTTGCTTTCCTGCCTGTTGGAAGTCCTCATCCGTTGTATCTGTTTTTAAGAACTCTGAAGACCCTTCTGTCCCATCTAACTACCGTCCTATGAGTCTCCTACCACTCTTCAGCAAAGTCTTCGAAGCTTTAATCAACGCCTAAGTGGTTAAGCACCTTACATCCCATGATCTGCTCTCTGACAAGCATTATGGTTTCCGCTTTGCCCAATCTACCGCTGATGTCATCAGGCCATAACTTTCTCTAATGAAAACCAAATTGAAACGTTGGTCGAAAGATTTTCACGCCAAAACCTGACGAATGTTTCGGAAAAATATTTTTTTATTTATGGAGAAATTAAAAGTGTATTAAAATATAATTAAAGATTGTGAGCGAAGTTTTTAAAGTCATGACAATATGTTCGTTTTTTACTTTGTTCAACATATTGTCCTTTCGAAAATTGTCTTTTCGACATTATGTCCGTTCATCATTTAATCAGTTCGACTGTTTTCCTTTCGACATTTTGTCCATTTGACATTTTGTTCGTTCGACACTTTATCTGTTTGACATGATATGTCTACAATGTTACAATTTTGGCCATTCACAGAAAAATTTGTCAACTTTTGGTGATTCTTCACCTTGTTCCAAAAATTCAATGATCCTGGACAGGATTACTAATAAATGTAAATAATTATTTACAGGCAGGATATGGTCTTCATCTTTTTTGTAATTACCACAATGTTTTGTTCAAGACATCTTCAGGGAATTTCAAGTTGAACCCATTATTTGGTCTAGATTGCCCTCGTCCTGTGTCCATGTCTAAGTGTATCTTGTCTAGTTTTGACTGAATACTGCTGAGTTTTTTTCAGTCCAAATACACAGTGCCCATCCTAACAATTATTATGTCACAGTTTTCACTAACCAACGATTAAATCTATTGGGCTATTGTTCCGTGGGAAAATTCTGGGTGAAGAACCTGTCTGCTGATGACTGATGACTCTACTTACCTGGTCAGACTCGTCTATACTCACTGATGCTTCATTATTTACTGAAGCTTTTGTTGATGTAGTTGCCTTGCTGTCACATCTCTTTCTTTCCTTATTAATGGCTATAAAATTGTATTTATTCCTATGTTACGCCTACTATGAAAGTCCTTATAGCGTTACATGTGCGTTGATTCGTTTAGACGTCTGACTTTCCAGTGCCCCAGTATTTTACTTCATTCCACAGAGGTTGATGGTTACCCTTTTCCCTTCATCTGGGATCAGTCATTCCTTATTTCATTGTCTCGCCCTTAATTACAGAAAAAAAGCAGAAAATCTGTGATCCATACATCATGACAATATTCAGAAGTAGCTCCATCCTATCATAGAATCTATGCTCAGTCAGTTCTAACAAGCAAAAGAGGAGGAAATAATTAAGTACTGAGTGCGCTCCATGCCTACTTTTGTACATTAAAGCTCTCAGCTCAAAATTCTCTGAAGATAACCCGGATCGACACTCACCCGATCTCTTCTCTCAGATCCTGAAAAGGAAAGCTAGCGAATATTACAAAAATATGTTCTTACTGTTAGTACGTCATTTTGCAAGAATTTATGTTTTTCCCATGTGTCAGGGAGAAATTTTCAGTCTCCCAAGAACTGTTCCCTGTGGAAATGAAGACTTCACCGACTTGTTAAGGGTCACCTGACCGGCCAAGCGTTGTGATCGTAATTGGAAAAGAGGAAGAAAAGTTAATCCAACTATAGAATAGACTTATTATAGAATAGGCTTATTGTAGAATAGGCTTATCATATGCACAATATAAATGCATTACTTTTGAAAAAGTTAAACCAAAGGAAAGTATTTGTTGAATTAGAAATCCATCGGAAAACAGGAAAAAAGGATCGTCAGCAGTCAAAAAGTTTTACTTACAGAATAAGGCTAACATAACCATGTAAATATATGGTTATTTTACAATAGGAAAAGATTGAAAATGATTTTTCTTCAAAAATAATTTAAAATCAAAAAGAAAATGTTTGTCATTGGTCAAGAATTAAGACAGTCTATTGCTGAAAAAATGTAGCTATTTATATAATGAAGTAAATCAATTGATAATAATTTTACCATAGAGATATGTGAGCAATTAGAAAGAAAGGAATATCGGTGATCATACCTTATTACTGACAGAATCGGATTAGTTTTTGTATGATTCGATTATCTAACCAAAATCGGCGTTCCTTATCGACAAAAATCTTCCAACGAAATGAGACAAATATTATTATATTACACGAGAGTTGGATAAATATCTTTGTCGTTTTAAACCTACTCGTCCCTACTTCGACATTTTTCACTGGATATAAACAATACAAAGGCTGGCGTCTTTCCCAGGAGAGACACTCAGATATGTCGTTTGTCCTATTATCTGAAGTATTCTCACACGATTGCTATCAAGCTTCAATGATATCGGTAAATACATCAACTCTGGAAACGGCTGGGCGGAATCTTAATGGATTTCCGCCATTCTTTCTCTGTTGGCCAACGGCTGCTTTTTATACATTGGTTGATATGCACTAATTATCCTTAAGTGTAAGACGCTGCAAATATTGACTTTTATACTTGAGATTTGTTGATTTGATATTTCTTAACAGATTTATTTTTCTTCCCTTCCATCCTTGGCTTAATTTCGCACTTAACCATTTCTCAGTTTTCAGAAATTTCAGCTCAGTAAGGCAAAAAGGATAATTAGAGGGAAATAAAAACTATTAAGATTATTGTTGCACCTGCCTTCGCAAATTCTAGCATTTCATTTCATTTGGACCTCAAACACAAGTGTCTGTACTTCTACCGACAATGTAAGTCTAAGGACATTCATTAGATGGCCTTATTAGAAATCTCGTCTTGTATCAAAATTATTGTGTGTTCCAACGTCGCCCGGTAACCGACATTTGTGTCATACAGTAAAATGTAAAATTGTGATAATCCTTCAATTGAAAGATTTTGGTAACACATTAGTTTAGCATAATTTGGCACAAGGTCACGAGTTTGTAGTAATAATCTTCCTAATTAGTACTCTCTGGCGAGGCAACGTTATATTGATATTTACAAAGCTGAGCGTTTTAACATAACCGCCTTTTTAAGCAGTAAGTGAATATTTAATTAACAAATTCTTAATAATCAGCGAAATTAATTAGAAGACTGTTTTTCCCATTTCGATTTTTCCAGATAAATAGTTTATTGCATTTCTCACCATTTGCTTCTTTCTACTGAGAATGTTGCATCAAATCTATTGTTATTGTTACCATTTAATCTATTCTTTCATTATTTTTAGTTCCATCCTCAGGAGACAACAAAGTCAGTATCTTATTTTTCTATTTCTTTCCTTCTTTTTTTTTTCTTTTTCTTTATATTTTTCGTTTTGATTTTTCCTTTTTTTATTTCTCTCATTTTTTTCTTGTATTTCAATGTTTCTTTATTTCCCTGAAACTCATGTTTTTTCTGTTTTCATTTGTTTTTAGTTTCCGTTTTCTTTTTTATTTAACTTTCTTTCCTAATTCTTCTTGTTCCTTTCTTTTCTAATTATTTTATTTTTCATTCGTTATTTTATTAGTTTTTATTTTCCCTGTCTCGTTATTTTATTTTCTATCTTTATTTTTCTATCTTTATTTCTTTTTTCTATTTAACACTTTTTCTTTTCTTTCTTTCTTTCTTTCTTTCTTTCTTTCTTTCTTTCTTTCATTCATTGATTCATGCTTTCTGGCTATAATATTTCTTTTCCTTCATTTCTTTTTTTTCATCTTCTTTCTGTTTTTATTTCTTCCTGTCTTTTTTCCTTTCTTTCTAGTTTTTCTCTTTTTCCCCCACTTTCATTCATATATTTCTTCTTTTCTCTTCATCTTTTTCTTTGTTATTTCCATTTTCTTTTATTCTTTTCTCTTTCATTCCATCGTTTTAAATTTCAACAGATAGGATTTTATTTCATTCAGCCACTGAAATCACACATTTCTTTTGCCTTTATTCCTTTTCTTTTATCTTTTCTTCCAGACACACTTCTTTTATTCTTTTCTTCCATCGTTTCATCTCAGTTCTTTTCTCTCCTTTTCTCTCCTTATTTCTTTTTTCTTCTCATTTATTCGTTTGTTTTATTTGCTGAGTGTTGTCACAACTCATCACCAAATGCTCTCTCTCTCTCTCTTTATATATATATATATATATACAGAGAGATAGAGAGAGAGAGAGATAGAGAGAGAGAGAGAGAGAGGAAGAGAGAGGAGAGAGGTGGGGTGATTGACAGTAAACTTGCGAGTTTCTCTTTCGTGTTGGCTATCATTTCTAGGCAACGAATCTTAATTAGTTTTGGGGTTTTTTGTTTTCTTTTTTGATATGTAATTATTTTCCCTTCGAAAAAAACAAATGGGTTGTTAATGACATATTAGATATCTAGAGGTATGCGTCTGTAATGTAGCCATGACCATATCTATCTATCTATCTATCTATATATATATATATATATATATATATATATATATATATATATATATATATATATATATATATATATCCAGGTACGATGGGAACCAACAAAAGTACACTTCCAACGTTCTGGTATTTGCGCATTTATACACATTGACTGTAGTAAGTAAATTATTCTTTGAACTTTTAAGCACTCCCTAGTATCTTTCCATACATATGTACATATCTATATCTATGTGCTTCCATCTATTAGGTTGGTGCAAAATAATGACTTAATAATGTCGTTTTTGACGTTTTTTTTTAACGTCAAAAACGACATTATTACGTCATTATTTTTGCACCAACCTAATATATCTATGTGCATTCATCTATATCTATATTCCAAATGTTTCATTTATTCAATCGTGTCTATGTTGTCAGTAAATGGTAGATGTTTCAAACATTCCCATCTTATGTTTATTCTCATTCCTTCCCAGTTCTTTTTTCAGAAGAGAAATAAATAAACAAATTAAACGAATTAAACGAAAACGTATCTCCTTATCACACTCCTTTTCCAATCTTTATTCCTCCAATTTTGTGTTGTCGAATTATCGCTGATATAAATGATTTTTGACGCAAAACCTTTGACTCTTTTGTGCAACAGCTTTTGCTCTTGCTAGTGATTTAAAGACTCCCAGATTCAGTACTGAGTTAGACGTCTTTTCACAGCCAGCGGGATCCAAGCAAAATTGTTTCTATATATTTTAATGATTTGGGATCATTGTTCGTAGATGGTATCAAATATTAAGTAGCCCTGCTGCAAACTCTGCCAATTAGTGTGGCTGATTTTCATTTCCCGTGTTTGATTCTTCTCAGATAGAAATCTGAAGGGGCAGAAAGCAGACAATGTGAATAAGAAAACAGAAAATACAGAATATTAATTGACAAAAATAGAAGTGATCAGAACAAGTAGCAATCATGGAGGTTAACAGATGGAGCGAAAGGTTGGTTGACTTGTTGGTGCCCAGTAAATAGCAAATACAGTAATAAATAACGCGGCCCATTAGGCAGCGATGAGATACAGATGTTTGTAGCCTATAAGAGATAAAGATAAACATATATTTATCATAAACTGAATAAGGTATTGAAAATAGCAATAGAAACAAAGAAACAGGAGCAATAGCAATAGAATAGCAATAGCAATAGCAAAAGAAACAGGGGCGGGCTGCTATGTATTGTTTACCCTTTTATATTGCAGAGAACACCAGAAAATTTCATTAGAAATTCAAAAGAAAAACTTCAGAAATGTGGTTTTACAGAAAAACGTTCCGAATATCATGGACAGAGTATGAGACAGATTTTTGAAAGGAGAATAGGAATTAAAAAGAAAATGTTGATAACAATTTAAAATGTAATTTTGGTGACACATAAGAGGAAAAGAAGGCTTGAAGAATCTAACACACACAGTGCACATCGAAAGCAAAAAAAAAACAGTGAATAATTTACTAAAGGCAAATTAAGCCAATGTATGTGGAAGTAACACAAAAACAAACAATATTTTCTGGCAGGAAAATAATAGGAAGCTGTGAAGAACCATGCTCGTCCATTTCCTGAAGGAATATGGCACACATAAATTTTATATATCTGCGTAATAGTTGATTATGGTTTCTAGCAGGTTAGGTAAACATAATTAGGAATTATTGATGTTATATTTATGAAATATGTTTATATGCTAAATATACTGAGGGAAATATTGGCATTTACTTGTTTGTTCTTAATTACCATTTTTCCAACGTTAGAATCTTCATATAATGACCCGTTAATGGAAGAACACGATGACTGATGTAGAAAAGTGTGAACTCTTGCGAAAAAAACAACCATATCTATCTTATCAATTAGGCAACTTCTTCGTCTTATTATTATTTATGTGACGTTTTCCTTCAAGAAGTGGGAAATCATGGCTCTCCACAACTTCCTGTCGTTTATATCTCTTAGCTGTGTTTGTCATTTTTCTACCTCTCCTAATCCCTGTTCTGCCAACCATTTACACAAACTCCGTTCCTCTTGCCTTCAACATGTCCTGTGAGTGTTAAAATTTCCAAGCCCTCTTTCTTCATTATATGCCCAAGAAATTTCAGTTGTCTCTTTCTGATTCTAATTATAAGCCTAATTTTTGTTTCCATTTTCTCTAAAACTTTGTAGTTGCTCACATCTTCAGTCCATGTTATTTTCAGCATCCTTCTGTAAAACCACATTTCTGTTGCTTGAAATCTCTTCTTCATCTGTGAGGAGATTGTCCAGCATGCACTGCCATATAGAAAGACTGAAACTACAGTACTCTTTTTTGTTTCTAACAAAATTTCCATGTTCCTTAATACTTTGCTTGACTTTTGGAAGGCATCTTTGCTATACTACCCTGCCTTCAGATTTTGTTCTCTATTAAAACACTTCGTAGAATTTTGAAATGATTTTACTTACTTCATTCGTAGCTCGCATTCTTGTGTTGTTCCTTTTTACTGACAGTCATATATTCTGTTTTCTTACAATTGATGATTAGTCCTTTCTTCTCAATTTCTTTTACTGCCTTCTCTGGGGGTGCCTGTAGTTTACTTTTTGTGTCTTCTATCGACACTGTGTCATCTGCATATCTTATATTGTGCAAATGATGAATCATGGTAGAACTTATAATTCTCCCAAAATCTTATCAATATAATGGCTGAACTCAAGCAACACTGACTGTAAACAAACGTATACACCTATTGATATACAACCTGATAAAATGATTCAGTATTTTCCTATATTTGTCCAAAGTTTAGAAATGATAATGTTACATTTAAGAGATATGGAAACGTTTAGATCAATGAAGAATTTAGTCATGTTATAAATCTTTATAGTCTCGTCGTTAAATGAGGACCAGTGTTCAGGCAGCATTTTAAGCAAAGGATTTTTGTTTTGAATCTTACCAGAACTTTATTCTTTATTTCTTTTATATACCGTATCCCTTAAGGACATAGATTTCATGGTTCTCCACGACTTCCTTTCCCTTGGAAAAACGTCCGTCTTTGACCCCGTTCAACTACTTCTCTCTACTGTTCTTATGTACCGTGAGTGTTAAATTTTCCAAGTCTTTTTCCTCCTGAAAAGTTCACCTGTTTCATTCTGATTTTATATATAAATGCCATTCTTTACTTACACTATTCATATTTGGACTATTATCGTCATATTTGTTGTTATCCCAACGTTTTGGTCGTTCTGACCTCCGCCCTTCTTCAGGTGAATATTTATCGTGGTACAGAAAGCAAAGGCCAGGGCGAAAATGGTCAGCGATTAGCCAGAGTGCTTCGAGGGCGGGGTATTCTGACAGTGATGAACTGCCAAATCCAAAACGGCAACAATTCAATAAAGGGTCCCAAGAATTCTGAAGCGTCGATATGCCTCCCATACCCAGGTTTGCGACCAGCTAAGACCACCCGCGGAGGGACGCTGAGCCAACGTGCGACATGCATTCTTGTGTCACCAGTCTTCTTAGAATCCAAGCTGAAACGTACAAGGAATTCTGTACCGAATCCTTCATTTAATTTACGCGGGTAGACTGTTCTCTTTCCACTGCTCACGCCTGGGGATATTTCGTCTTATTTATAAAAGTGTTCAGTTATTGCTTACCCGTTTGAACCGTTGAACCGACAACCACTATGCTGTCAAATTCATGAACCAACTGTTAGATCCTTACAGAAAAATGATTTAGTGTATTATCATCCTTATTTTGAACCATATCTTTGTTACTTCAAGTCTCTTCATCTTTAAATAAAGTGTCCAGCATCCGCAGTCATAGAGCAGGAAATAAATACCAGAAGAAAAAGGAAGATATAAAAATGAAAGAAATAATCGCGCAAAATTCATAATGACTGACAAAAATTCTTCCAAGAACTTCCGAGAACTTCAGTCTATTAATTCTTTGCAAAAGAAATAAAATATCAAAAATGAATAATATTTGATAATGATTCATATTCGAATAATTTCATACTAATGCGTCTACTTGTAGTAATAGGCGTAATAATGACTCACTGAAGGAGAAAGCCTAAATAATTTTGACACACACTATAACCACTACTTTCAATAAAATGATCTACATGTATATGTATAGAAGAGTTGCCGAAATGTTTGAATGAATTATCATCATTTTCATATCCTATCAGGTGAGATTGGAACATAATTAATGTTTTGCTTCTTTGTGAAGTTATTTTCCTGTTTGCCGATAGAACGCTTGTTTGTCTTGAATGTGCGTCTTCAACAAATCATTGGACAGACGAACAATTAACAAAAATAGAAGGTAAAATAATCCAGAGGCAGAAAAATAATATGTATGATAATGGCGCTAAAGTCTGTCTTAATGGAATTGCTTATTTCTGAAATGTCTCCGCCTCGAAAGATATTTTTAAAAAAACTCTACGCCTTTATAAAGCTTTCGGCAATCACAAATATTTATGGTCGGGTAATGGTGTTGATATCTGTGGATATTATCAGGTAGAAAATAGAGGAATATTTTACCTGTATTTATTCCCAACGTGTAACATTAACTATTTTTTAACTATTTTTTTTAGATCATAACATAACATGAATTAGGCTTAACAGCATTCTGTTTATGTATTTTAAATCTGGTAATATATATATATATATATATATATATATATATATATATATATAGTGTGTGTGTGTGCGCGCGCGCGCGTGTGTGTGTGCGCGCGCGTGTGTGTGTGTGCGCGCTCGCGCGCTTTGCCAAAATCTGAAGTGAAACTAAATAGTGAATTGGGTGTCCATAATATTTGGCCTCAATCCAGTAGCGCGCAGAAGGGGGGGTGGCAGAGCGTTCGACGGGCCCAAGCAACCAATCAAGGTATGAAATAGAAATTTAATTTATATTTAATTTGAATAAAGTGCTTATTTCATATTTCATCTGTTTTTACATATTTGCCTTCCCTTCTCACATTTCTCAGTACTAGGCCCTATAGCCCCCCCCCACTTGAGTGTTAGGTGAACACGGTCAAGGAATTGGCCCTGGGCATCACCAAACATCGTCAAACCTTTGCACGTCCCTGTCTCACTCTAATAAAGTAGTTGAAATGATTGAAGGTTCTATAGAGGTTTTGAGGCCAGCACTATATTGTGAAAATTGCTGGAAACTATTGGTGACTTGCTGTCGCATAATCTCGAGTGACAACGACCTTTAGTGTCAATATACTCTTAACATGATTACGAAATTCAAATCATGTCAAT